GAAAAATGTTCCCCACCACTGTACTAGATTCAGGAAATACCATCTACAAGCATTTGATATGTGCATTCTATAATTTTCTAATAGTAGGCCTCCTTACCCCACAGTTATCCCAATTAAATTCCATTGGTGTCTTTTAGCCCATTAGAATACCATACACTACTCCGAGTCCCCAGAGTTTATTCAGCCTAATTTTTACTTATCTAAAATACTAGAGAGAGGGGGAAAAATTTAGTTAAGTTGGACACAGAAAAAAAAAAGTATGAAAAAGCCTCCTCATACAAGAACTATTTATAAACTCTATACTTTTGCTATTAAAAAGTTAGTACTTTACTAAAATAAGGATAAACTTACACAATGCATAAATTTGAGTCTTCCAGAAGTTCACATTACCTTGAAAGGAAACCCAGAAGCTGTTTTATTTTCAAATATATCTTATGAAGAAAGATTTCCTAAGTGTATCAAAAATGTTTTCTATTTAAGAGAAACCTTTACAAGTCATTCTTTAAATAATGAGAATTTCTTTTCCCTCAAGGGAATAATTTCTACTTCAGTGTTTCTAAGAATATACAGGGTTAAAACCGTGTAAAATAGATTTTCTCACAGTTAGGGGAGAGCAAAACACCGCAAATAGGAAACCAGACAGCTCAGAGGTCAAAACACTACACTTCCAGGTCAGACTTCTGGTTGCAATTAAGTAAAATTCCTGCAAATATTTGTAAGGAAATCATATTTTTGGTGTCTCCTTTCAGACCTTGTAACTTTTTATTTTCTTTACCAGCAACTTATATCTGTGGGTATATACTTATCTGTATTATTTATTAAAGACACACAGAAATAAAAAACATAAACATTTATGAACACACACATACCCCAGGATTGTAATTCGATCTTGGCCTCAAAGGTAAAACCAGCATCTCCGCTAGGCATTCATTTTCTATGTTTCAGATCATGTGGACCTAGTTTTGTTTTTGCTTGACACAGACATGGATTATTTGGTTCTCAAGACATTTCACAAAACAGGTTAAGCCAAGTTTCCCATTAGATTGCATGGTTCATGATCAAATAGTTAAAGTAAATTTGAATCTGATTGGAGTTTAGGCTCTAAATAATAGCAGCACTGTGTTTGAGCAACAAATATAAACAAGTTCCACAATTAAGTGTACCTGAGCAGTTTATTAAATATGCTTCTACTCAACTCTCTGGGGAATAGCCCAGGCATTCACAGTGCTTCACAAATACCAACCTCAGAAATTTGTGGCGGATTCACTTAGAGACAACAGAAATGTCAAAGGGAGCAGATACTACCTGCCCAGTTCACAGAAGTTATTACAGTGAGTGTAAGATTATTTTTATTATAAATAATTGAAGTAGTAAACTGAAAATAGTAACTACAAAAAATAATTTTAGATTCTTTCACTTTCTTCCTAAATAATCACAATGATTAGGTGTCATGTTAGGGAATTTGAAAACAAAAGCATCTCTGGGTTTCAATCATCATGTGGGTTGTAGTCCTCACAATTCCCAAGGTATTTAGTTAGCAAACCTCACTTCCAAAGTGTTAAACCACAGTGTGTTATCCTACACTAGGGCCTCTTCACTTGTCCCTCCACCCTTCAAAATCAAGGGGTTCTTATAGATATTTAATCTGTTAGATAACTCTACTGTTTTCTCTCTCAGGCTTTCTAGTGGCAATTAATACTAGTGATGTGAAACTCAATTACTAGAAATGTTAAAATCTTTGCATGTGACTGGAGAGCCTGGCTAAAGGAAAAGAATTTAAAGGGAACAAACAAGATGGTAAATGCTCTGGGCACTTCCCAGACATCGGAAGGGTACTACTATAACGTAATGTGCATAAGACTCCTCTGAGAAATGAACAGTCATGCCAAGGCAAATAGTTTCCACTATCCCTTGTCATCCCACACATTAAAAAATTATATGCAACCCCTACAAGACAAGGCCACTGCTTTATGAGTGGCAGTGGGGGGATAGGGAAGAGGAGCTGCCCTCATTAGTATCTGTCAAACACAGGAGACGTTGCCACTTTTTAAGACTTCATCTGGGATGCATCAAAAGAAAGTACCTCCTTATAGAAGTCTCACTATCCTTGTGTGCCACCCAGCCCTCTACCCCTCACCTCAACACACAGACACGTACATATGCTAAGCAGCTGCCAAACCATTGGGACAACAAAGCCAGTGCCACAGGGGACACATTCCCAAAATGCTGGGATAAATCACAATTTCCACTGGGCAAACCCAGAGAATTACAGGCCTCCCATCCAGTTGTCACCATTAGAGATAATGTGACAAAAGAGAACACCAAAAGAAAGTTTTTTTTTTTATCTCACCCTTATTATCAGTCAAAGGCCAGTGACTTTTTCTTCCATTACTTCTCTTCCCACCCACCACAGGGCAGGAGTGACAACCAGTTCTACCTGACCACCAAATGGGATTTGTCTTTGGAATATCTGGTGACAAATCATCAATCTTCATAGAGCTGGTAATGGGCAGGGCTCTCAGCCAACTGGGCCAACTGCTTAAAAAAAGTCTTGCAATCACCATTTGATGACAAAGATCTTTCTGAAACCTAAGAGTCCTCCCAGAGGATTTGGAAGAGTTGTTTTGAACTCCCCAGTTCCAGAATAGGCAGAAATGTGGGAGCACTGAGCCCAGATATAAATGTGAACAAGCAGACTCAAAAAGAATACTGGCATTGCATCACCATAAAAGCTCCAACAGAACTGGCTTTGTAATTTGAAACTAAGCAATGGCAATATAGACTTTGTTTTATGAGGGAAAAATCATTGTCTTTCTGATGTGCATGGTAGGAAGTTAAGGGAGAAGGGTGGGGTGGGAGAGATGGAAGCAGCTTACTCACAGGCCAGTAGGATCAATCTCCTGAGGTTCACGCTACCGTGGACAAAGTTGTCTAGGTGGCTCAAATTGAAGTGTGACAACCTCTTGGTGTGGCAGAGAGAATCCTAACTCTTTTTGAAACCTTGTGTATCAGAGGGGGTTTTGTGTGTGTTTTAATTTCTTCCAAAATTAAAAAGTGAACAAAAGACCAGTCACTGAAACTGGCGATTTCCTTAACAGGTGACTGTGACAAGTGGAAATACTGCCCTTCAAGGTTAAGGATTTTTGTTTTCTTTCCACTTATTGCAATAAATGGTTAGCAAAGCCTCCCTAGTTTTTGCAAATCCAAAGCATCTTGTGTTGTCAACACTGTTTTTGCATACTTTTGGTAGACAGTATAAGAACTTTAAATTCTGCAAACTGCCCTTTCCTGGAAAACTAATCTCTGCTGACACTGTGGCACATTCACCAGAGGGCTTATAGGCACTTGCTTTCATTACTGCCCTTTTAAGCTTCTCATGTGGATGAAAGCCTAGAAAATGTTTTGATTGAGTACACTATGGGAAGAAATGTAAATAATAAGCAAAGCTATTTAAACACATGTGTAAAAAGAAAACACATGTTTCCACTGTGCCCTAGGACAAATTTAAGGAAATCCATTTCTATTTGTAAAGGGCTGTGAATAGAAAAAACAATGCCTAAATATTAAGAATATTTACCAGAACAGTAGATAATTGAAGATGTGTTGCACTGTTTTGCTGTTTATAAAACCACACGAGGGCCGGGTTCTCCCCCTTTCAGTCGTCTGTGTCTGGCTGGGGAAGCCTGGGGACCCCACCATAGCTGCACAGGTGACTGTGGCCCAGTTCTGCCACCACGGAGCAGAGGCTGCCACTCCGCGGGGACAGCTGATAGCCGTCAGGAGTGGCTGAGGTAGTCAGTAGCATTTGTCAACAGGGGCTTTTTCAGGGTTAACAGTTGTTGGAGGTACTCCTGTGAATGTTTAGGGATGGTGTTTTGAGGCCAGTTTTCACTGTCCTCTTGGAAAATGCCTGCCCGTTTATGGTGAGGAAGGGCTGGGCTCAAAGGGCAAAGTAGTTCACTTCCAAAATTTATTTTCAATAGGAAAAGGCCCTGTTTTCAATGTGCTGGGAAAATAAACCCAAACCCAAACAAACAACCCATATACAAATTTGCACTCCTGGGGCCACCAGAGAGAAGGGCTCACAATCAGGCCTGTGTCTGAAGAGCAAAGAGAAAGCTTTCTTTGGCAGGTACCACACACTGGGCGTTGGGAAAAGGAGGGGGACATTTCTCAGACAGAGGGAAGAATAGGAAGAACTTGCTTGTTTTGGCGCTTCTTTTTCTTTTTCTCCTCTGGTGTGAACACCCACTGATTTCCTAACATGGTGGTAATGTGCCCCACCACAGAATGCTGCGTGGGTGTTGATGAAGAGAGAGGAAGCCTGGTAATTCAGCCCTGAACATTCACAGAGGATACCCTGGATGCCACAAAAGAATGAGCAGACAGCTACATGCATTGGCTAAAGATTTAAGCTAAGATTTTAGAGGCATGTCCAGCTTAGAAGAAAAGCCGAAAAGAAAGCCACTGCAGACAGAAACCACAGTACCCAGGAAAATTTAATTTATTTTATGGCATTTTCCAAAGGATTGGGTTCCTTAGATGTTAAGTGCAAGAAAAAGGTTATGCAAAATGGAATAATAGGCAGTAAAAAAAAAGAAAGTTTAGTGCTCCCCAAACACAAAAATGTAGCAAACCCCTACTATTTAGACCATGCACTGAGGTAAGTGCTTGGAGGTGAAAGATGAACTCTATTTTGGAGTCTGTGTCTCCTTTTCCATCTTGGGATCAGAGAATAGAGGATAGAAACCCAAACAAAGGCAGCCACATGATAGTTCAAGCAGAACACTGCTCCTGGCTCTCATACGGTTAACCGAAAGATAGCTTTGTTTTTATTATTAAAAGAGAAAACATACATACATTCTCTCTCTCTCTCTCTCTCTCTCTCTCTCTCTCAGACCAGCCAGACATCAGACAGCAGCATTTTAACACTGCCTCTGACACTTAGTAGCTTTTCAACCTTGGGCAAGTTGCCTGAACTCTTGAATTTGGTTCTCATCTTCAGATCAAGAGTTAAGAATGCCAGCTAGATAGGGCTGCCCGAGGATCTGCCGTGGGGATGCAGGAGAGCCAGCACAGGGCTGGTCAGGCTGAAGCTCACTAACAGGTAACTAACTGGTAGGGGTAAGAATGCTAACAGACACCTGAGCTAGGGAGGGGCTGGAGGGAGGATGTGTTCAGTCCCGAGGTGCCAAAAAGCCAGAAGATACTGCAGTTGTCCTTATTCTGGAGTAGGATGTGGTTTTGACTTTCTGAAAACCAAACGAGAACAACTGTTTAATAACTTGCTAACTCACAGACCACTTTCACCTCTGCCTTTTGTTGAAGGGGCAAGAGATGTTGCAATGGAAGTGCATCACAAAGCCTTGGCAGATAAACATGTGACTTGTAACCAGAAACTACATTTCAGTTCTTTATTTCTCCCATTGCTTGTGTTCCTCCTGAGTAACAGCTCTGCACTGGGTGCTGAACAGCACAAGAACCCTGCCGTCAATGAAAGTGAAACCTCTCTGGGAAGCCAGGAACCAGCTGAAATGGTGAGTGCTGCTACTATTGAGGGTGGGCCGGGTACACGGGAAAGGGCAGGGGGCAGCTCCCTGAGAGAGAAGGTACAGAGAGTCAGATAAAGTTTCTTAGGAGAAATGACACTCAGGCACAGGCCTGCAGGAGGAGGAGCTGACCTAGCAATGGGAAGGAGAAGAGAGTTGCTGGGAGAGGAGGGGAACATATGCAAAAGCCCAGAGGCAAGAGTATGATGTTCTGGGTGCTGTTGGTCAGTGAGGCTACAGTGACAAGCTGATAAATGATCACAGAAGCTCTCCCAGGGTTGCCTGGCCGAAGCTATCTGGGACTACTTGGGGGAGAGGGGCTCCTCTTGAACGCAGCTTCCCATGGGTCTAGTTGGAGGGCTGGCAAGGTCAACAAGCACTGGGCAGTTGGCTTGGATACAACATTCTTCTGAATAATCAGGCTGCTTGGTGCCTGAACCTGGTACTAAAATGTGTGCCAACACCATGGCCACAAGGTCACTTTCATACTTGCTCAATAAAAAGGTCAATCAGTGGGAGAACCAGGGCCCCTCTGCTGGAATACAGACATAAGGTACATTGAGCTGTACCTCAGCCATGCACACCTAGCTACAGGATGCCAAGAGAATGGAGAATATGCATACTGATCTGTGTGAGAATGTCAGCCTGTACCAAGTGATTGTCCTGTGTTCCCAGAACTGTCTGCACAATGGTGAGGGGTCAACATGGAGAGGATACTGTTACCAGGCCTATTCCTGGGCAGCCACATTGGGGATGAGGGTGAGGGAGTGAGTATAGTTGCTGAGACTAATGACCAGGACAGACATGGTGTCTGTAGACCACAAAAGCCCAAGAGTGGGTGCGTCATCTGGTGACTGGGTGGCCTAAACTTTGCGGTCAACTAAGGCCTATGGCTGGCCAAGTCACTTGGTCCAAGATTACTCAGTGGTAACCTTGGGAGGAAATCTGCCAGTGGCTCAATCCACAGACATCTTTGGCTTATTGGTTAACAGATATGTCCATAACTCCAAATAAAATGGAGAGCATACTTAGGCCCTACGTAAACTGTGTATTATAGGCTGAACTGTGTGTCTCTCCAAAATTGTATGTTGAAATCCTGATCCCCAGCACCTCAGAATGTGACTGTATTTGGATATAGGATCTTTAAAGAGGTAATTAAGTTAAAATGTTAAAATGAAGTCATCAGATTGGGCCCAAATCCAATGTGACTGGTGTCCATATTACAGGAGGAAATCAGGACACAGATACAAATAAAAGGAAAATTATGTGAAGCCACAGGGAGAAGACAGCCACATCTACAAGCCAAGGGGAGAGGCCTCAAAATAAACCAATCCTGCTGATACCTACATCTTAGACTTCTAAGCCTCCAGAACTGTGAGAAAATAAATTTGGTTAAGCCACTCAATCTGTGGTATTTTCTTATGGCAGCCATAGCAAAATAATATATAATAGGGGGAAAAATTCTAGGTCTGGTCAACAGGGGCCTGACTTGGGCTACTTTGAAGGAGCGCCACAGACTTTCACCCAGTCCCCAGATTTGACTCAGTTCTCAAAATCGTATCTCCTTGAACAGAAAGCCAGGTGTCCCTCAAGTCAGGACCATAACTCTTCCACTTGGGATGTGCAACTGTTTCCTAGGATACCTGCACAATGAGCAAAAGAGGAATACCTAGAACTTTTGAGAATGACTGGACAATCAGGAAAATACAAATCAAAACCTCAATGAGATACACCTCACACCAGTGAGAATGGGGAAAATTAACAAGACAGGAAACAACAAATGGTGGAGAGGATGTGGAGAAAGGGGAACCCTCTTGCACTGTTGGTGGGAATGTGAACTGGTGCAGCCACTCTGGAAAACTGTGTGGAGGTTCCTCAAAGAGTTAAAAATAGACCTGCCCTATGACCCAGCAATTGCACTGTTAGGGATTTACCCCAAAGATGCAGATGCAATGAAACGCCGGGACACCTGCACCCCGATGTTTCTAGCAGCCATGTCCACAATAGCCAAACTGTGGAAGGAGCCTCGGTGCCCATCGAAAGATGAATGGATAAAGAAGATGTGGTCTATGTATACAATGGAATATTCCTCAGCCTTTAGAAACGACAAATACCCACCATTTGCTTCGGCATGGATGGAGTTGGGAGGGTATTATGCTGAGTGAAGTAAGTCAGTCGGAAAAGGACAAACATTATATGGCCTCATTCATTTGGGGAATATAAAAATTAGTGAAAGGGAATAAAGGGAAAGGAGAGAAAATGAATGAAAATATCAGTAAGGGTGACAAAACATGAGAGACACCTAACTCTGGGAAATGAACAAGGGGTGGTGGAAAGGGAGGTGGGCGGGGGGTTGGGGTGACTGGGTCATGGGCACTGAGGGGGGCACTTGGCGGGATGAGCACTGGGTGTTATGCTAAATGTTGGCAAATTGAACTCCAATTTAAAAAAAATAAAAAAAAAAGAGAATGTCTGGACAGTGGCTCTGAGATAATGCTAATTCTTGGGGTTCCTGACTGCCACTGTAACCCAACAGAGTGTGATAAGTAGAAACTTGGTTTCAATACATCTCACAGAGGGCCCAGCAGGTCTATGAAAATCTGTATTTGTCTTCTCAGTTGATGAGTACAAAACTGGGATAGATTTACCCTGCAACCAATGGAACCTAAACTTGGACTCCATATCTCATGGAGTAAGTGCTATACAGTAATGAAGGGCCAGAAAAATGGTCTCTGAAGTTCCCGCTCCCCACTGAAACCAAAAGCGGGGGTGCCTGGGTGGCTCAGTCAGTTAAGCATCTGACTCTTGATATCAACTCAGGTCATGATCTCAGGGTTGTGGGGACTGAGCCCCAAATCAGACTTCCCACTTAACAGGGAGTCTGTGTAAGAATTTCTCCCTCTGCCTCTCCCCCTGATCTCCTCTCAAAATAAATAAATCTTTTAAAAACAAAAACAGTATTGATCCTTGGAAATAAAAAAAATTTTTTTAAAGATTTTATTTATTCATGACAGGCACACAGAAAGGCAGAGACATAGGCAGAAGAAGCAAGCTCCCTGTGGGGAGCCCAATTTGGGACTCAATCCCAGGATCCAAGGATCATGACCTGAGCTGAAGGCGGATGCTCAACCATTGAGCCACCCAGGCACCCCTGGAAATCAAAGAATTCATTCTGGGCATGTCAAAAAAGTTCATTCAAGCTTCTGCACCCTGTAATTCTTACTACTAAGAAATAAACACAAACACTTGTGCATATGTTTGCATGTTTGTTCGACCTATGTAAGTGACCTGAAAGGGTGACAGCTTGAGTGATCAGCTTACTAACAGATTTTTATCTGCTAAATATCTGTTCCGGGTTATTCAATGGTTCTGCCCAATATGATAGTATCAGCCAGAAGTGAAGGAGTGCAATGATATAACCTCACTTGGGGTGGAGAAAAGACATCTGTCCAGTGAGCAGAATGTTGAGAGATATACTTTGGGTTCGTTTGGCCTGTAAGGAAAGATAGCCTGATGTGTGTGTGTGTTTGTGTGTGCGCACGCGTGCGTGTGCATTTATTCATTCATTCATTGGCATGATCTCAGACCAACTGGTGATGAGGACATTTTAGGAAAAGTTAAGTGGAGTGTGTGTGTGAAAATATCTCTATCTTATGTGAATGTTCTCCAAAAACCTCCATTAAGAAAATCGTGCAATGACCTGGATAAAATGACCTGCCCTGTGGATGCTGGCCAGCCTCTTTCCCCAGATGTCAGATTACCTGCTCAAACGGCTCATGAGGCATGTGGCCATGTTGGCAAGGATAAGTATTATGCTTGGGCTCAATGGCATGGACTTAACCTCACCAACACTGAGCCTTGCCAAATGCCAAATCTGCCAAAGCAGCAATTAATTTGAGTCTCCCTACCAATTCTCATATTGCAAGTAGATGGGCCAGCAGTCAGCAATGGTGGGTAGATTATTATATTAGACATCTTTCATCACAGAGAAAACAATATCTTCACTGAAATGGATCCTTATTCAGAATTTGGGTGTATTTTCTATGCCTGCCATGTTTCTGCTGTACCTACTGAAGGCCTCATTCACCATTACCATAGTACTCCTGACCAAGAAACTCTTTTTAGAAATACACTGGTACATTCATAAAATGCAAAGGTCCTACCAAGCAATCAAGCAAGGATCAAATGTGGCTGGCCTTATAGGGTGGTTGAAGGGCCTACTGAAAATTCAGTTGTGATACAAACTGCAAGGCAGGACCTTGTGGGGCTGGGTTAAAGTCCTACAAGACATATTACATGCTGTGACCAGCAGAACAATATGTGTTCCCTTGGCAAGAATTCCTGGAACCAGGGAGTGGAAGTGGGAAGTGACCACCTCAGTAAAAGTTTGCTTTCTATCCTCATGACTGTGCTTCATGAGTATTCAAAGGAAAACTGGAACGAAGGGGTAACAATGACCCAGGTAGAAATTGAAAAGTGTCGCATACTACTTTAGGTTTTTTTATGCCACTAGACAAACAGACCAAAAGGGGAGTAGAAATGCTGGCCCATGATGACACAACAGAGGCAAGTGGATAAAACACAGGGATTATGACAGGCTCTATCTAGTGATACATTTCCAGTGCTAAAAATTCATGAGAACTGTGGACAGCCTCATAAAGGCAGGATCATTATAGGCTCAAATCTCTCTGGAATGGAGGTTTGGATCACCTTGCCACACAAAGAATCCTGATCAGCTGAGTTACTAGCTGAGGGCAAAGAGAATACGACACAAATGTTAAGAGGAGAGAAGATATAAATACCAACTATTTATTTTAAAAGTTAGAGTGGTGGCATCCTCCTGCACTCTCTTCCTTCATATATTAAGTTTTTTTGGCTGTTTCCCTACATTTTCTTTAAGGTATGTTGTCAAGAGTTAACTTCATAATTTAGTCAATGGGTTAACAAACAAGGGCTGTGAATGAATGTCATTCAGGAAGCCTACACTTGGAGCTAGGGTGTGAGACTTTGGGTTCCCTCCCTCTCCCTCTCTCCTTCTCTCAGAGGAGATGCTGAGCTTGTTTCCTCTGGCTTTGGGAGAGCTGTCATTAGGCAGAAGTCTGTTGTTGTTTGGAAGTTTGTGGAAGAAGGCAGCCAAGAAGAAAACTTGAGAGGATATTTTGTTAACTTGTGTCCACCCACCAAAACTTCTGACCATCCTCCTTGCAAAGTTTTGGCAACTTCCCACGTTTTAACATCCCACTTTCCCAAGGTAAAGGCCAAACATTCTGTCCTCCCTGGCCCACCTGCAACTAGGGTACAGCCATGGGATCTAGTTTTGCCTTGCACTAGGCTCAGAAGGAGCAGCATGGTGCTCAGCACCAGAGGCTGACCCCTGGTCCTGAGCATAGCAGACTGCAGCTGAAATGGCACATGTACCAAAGCTGTCCCCATCTGTGGCTGAGGTTATGCTGTGTCCTCCCAAAGGTAGATCCTGTGAGCTATCTATTATCTTTACCGACTCTGCTAAAGAGCCAGATCCATTCTGATAGTCTCAAGCAGAAATGAAATTAAAATAAAGGATATTAGACAACTAAGGCTCCTGACCACAGAAGGTTTTAAGCTGGAGACTATCACAGTTGTTTTCAAAAGGCCACTTTGGCAGCAGAGGTGTGGATAAGTTGGATGGAAAATCAAGGAAGGAAAATCAGAAGGCTGTGGCAGTAATTCAAAAGTTGATTAAGAAGGCTGTGATCAAGGAAGGGACACTAGGAAAGAGAAAATATTAGGAAGAAAAAGGCAAACAACCCAGTACAAAGATGAGCAACAGCTGTAAACAGGCAGTTCAGTCAACAAGCACATAAAAAAGTGAAAGATAAAAATCAGAGAGCAGACTATCTCCTTTTTTGATTTTTGGCCTGTCAGACTGGGAAAAATTAAAAACACTGATAACACCTAGTTTTGGCAAGGTTAATGAAACAGAATTGGCAGAAATTGACAGTTAAGCCATTTTTTAAAAAGATTTATTTATTTATTTGAGGTGGGGGAGAGCATGCACATGCATGGGGGATGGGAGTACAGAGGCAGAGGGATAGAGAATTCAAGCAGACTCCACGCCAAGCCTGTGAAGCTCACTGCAGGGCTCAATCTTAAAACCCTGAGATCATGACCTGAGCTGAAACCAAGAGTTGGACACATAACTGACTGAGCCACTGAAGGGCCCCACGACTTACAACACTAATTTTTACTGAATCTATTGAAATAACACCTCAGGTGACTTAAAAAAGATGAAACTATCAGCAAATGTCTGTGTTATGCTGTTCATTTAGTTGGTGAATACTCTGCGTTCCTTTATATTGTAAGATCAAGGAAATGGCCTCAA